TAACTAAATAAAGATCTAATGTATATTATAAATGCATGAGTATTTTTATCTATCTATATGGTTCAAGAGTGATTTTTTTTATTATAGTTTTGAGTTCTCATAAGAAACATTTATACTCATTGGAGTTCAATACATCAACAGTATTGCAAAATTCTTCTTAATTAATTTAGTAAAAAGTTTGCTTTATTCAACACTTAGAAATGCTTTAGCCAAACATATAGTCAAACCAGGGATGGACGCAGACTCGCAAGACTAAATGGGCACAAACATAACCTTTACAAAGTGCCAAAAAAAAATGATATTTATTATTTGTATGTTCTTATATTTATATCACTAATAATTAAACAAATTCAAATCTCATTAAATATATTTTTTCAAATACCAAATTTTTTTTCTTTTGCACTGGATATTCTTACAACGTCAGCATTGGCAGACTTTTTTTTATAATAAAGATAAATATTTATTACTTAAAAAATCAATGAAAAACACAATTTAGTAGCTAATTTAAACTTATAATTATAATTTTAAGAACACCTAAATCCAATATGTATCAAAATCAATGTTGATTTTTATGGAAAATCCATTTAACTCATTTATATATGTTGCCTACAATATAATATAAATACCAAATGCAACCAACTTAATTTTTTTTTTTAAAAAAAAATCTCTTGTAATTATTTTACAATATAATTATATATGTAATATTTTTATTAAATTGCACAGGGCCCGTGCCCCTATGGGCGCCTGCCTAGGTCCGCCCCTGAGTCAATTTTCATAATTGATCATTATATATAAGGTACTTCTACGAACATTTCACAAATATCTCTGTGAAATAGTCATTGAAATTCTTGAATTTTTTAATCATTATATAAACTACTACATTACTCTCTCTCTCTCTCTCTCTCTCTCTCTCTCTCTCTCTCTCCATATCGACAAATTGGTACATATCCTATGAGGTGGGAACTAATTTCATTTATAAATAAAAGTTGATCTTCCAAAATCATGTACTTCTCCGAAAAGACGTTAAACTATATTTAATATCATCACACATTACATGAAAGTACATACTCTAAAGTAATTGTGCATATTATCGAGTACAATACACAATTAAGATTGTAAATGTTCAAATTAAAAAGTGACAACTTATTCAAACATTTAAAAATATTTTGATCAGAATCGAATATTCCCTTTTTAGTGTTATTTATTTGGAAGACAAACAAACTACATAACCTATTATTTGCAAATCACCATTTTAGTTGTCACAACGATTTTAGAGTTATTTGTCTTAATACCTTTCACAATCGATCGAATGTGTAATATTGAGAAGCGTAACATTTGTCAAAATATTTCACAGGAAAAGAATATGAATTCTATTATATTATGATACTCTTAGTCATATGTGAACTTTACTATTATGACGTCATTATTAAAGTTTGTGGTGCATATTATGATAATATGTAGTCATTATTTATGAGAACCAATTTCTTATAGATAACATATATTTAAATGCTAGCTACAAAAAAAAGTAGTAATTATAAAAGATTTTTGTTTTTTGATATTGGTACTCATACTTTTCTAAAAAAATTCAGACTTTTATTTTTCCTATTTGCATTAATATTCTATTTATATGCATTCTGGTTGTTTGATAGTAATAATATATTTGAAAAAAGTGTATTTTTATATTGTTTATAAGATTAAAAAGTTTTAGATTTTTTTTACATTGTTTGATAAAATATTAAGTAACTAACTCATTTTTATATTCACAAAAAGTATTTTACAACCATTATGGTGTTCCATTTCAATCAGTAATTTAATAATAATTTAACATACAACTCATTAATTATATACCACAAATTTATCTATTGTTATTTTATAATTATTTAAATTGAGTTAACATGTATCTCTAATTTATTTTATAAGATACTTTTAGGTCTATTTATTATTTTAAATT